TGCAACCAGGAGCAAGAAACAAGCAGAAATGTTGTTGAATCATAGAACATTTTTACCCAATTATAGAAATGGACCTGGTATAGGACAAGGTGGAGGTAATTATCCACTCTATGCTGGTAACAGTTTGATTGCATTAGTTAAGAAGACTCCTCTTCAGAGAGATACATGAAGGTTCAGGAGAATGAGAAGAAGTCAATGTTACCTAAAAGATCAATTCCCAGTAACCCTCTCAGTCTTGTACTACTTTCTCTGCTGCACTGACTGCCATATATCTTAATGCAAAGACTTTTGAGGTTATGCCTATGGAACCTGGGATACTGTTTTCTTAGTAGGTATTTGGCTAACTAATGCTAAGGGATGCAGTGTAGACCAGTAAATACTAAAATGAAAGATCTCTTTGATCAGTAAGTGGTTGGTGAATCTGAAAATTTGGAACATGTGAATAGAGAGAGCCAACTGTAGTTTGCTCTCCATTTTTATTGGGGGAAATTGAAACATATATAAAAGTAATAAAGCTGAAACCGGTTTGGCTCTGTGGATAGAGCGTCGGCCTGCAGACTGAAGGGTCCCAGGTTCGATTCCAGTCAAGGGCATGTACCTTGGCTGCGGGCATATCCCCAGTGGGGGACGTGCAGGAGGCAGCTGATTGATGACTCTCTCTCATCGATGTTTCTAACTCTCTATCCCTCTCCCTTCCTCTCTGTAAAAAAATCAATAAAATATATATATTTTTAAAGTAATAAAATAATTAAATGAACATCTACATATACTCAACACCTAAGTTGAAGGGTCATTTTGCCTTCATTCTTATTTTTAGCCCTTTGAAAAATTTCTGTTTGAAGTAGAAAACATTTCCCCATAGTGGGTGTCAGAAAATCACCCTTGTCTGAATGACTAGTAATGAGATGTGCCTCTCTATGGGAGATGCTAGGTCTTTCTTGGTATGAAAATAAGATGTAGTCCTAAATTCCTCTCTCCTCAAGTTTAGCATCAAGTTTAGAGCAAATAGGACTCTCTTTTGAATGGCACATCAATAAAGAATGCTCTCCAAGAAAGGGATTCCCTGAGACTTTCACTGATTCTGTTCTTTACTTGTGGTGAGGTGAAGAGATTTTGGCACAATAATACAGTGGATTTGTTAGGAGAACTGATCTCACTGGATAGAGAGAGTCTGATTGCTTTGTAGGAACTAACTCTGAAGAATCTGAGAAGTCAAGGTGAATAGTTTTCCAACTTTGACAATATGGGGCGAACAGTGAGATGAGTCCACATTCTGGAGCAAGGACAGAGAAGTGTACAAGCCAGGTAGGGAGGGCAAAGAGATAAAATGAAGTTCTTTGGGCACTCATCTGAGGACAGTCAGATCTCTAAATATTTCCCACCACCACTTGTGTCTTATTAACCACTGTAGTCTTATTGCCTAGCATGATTTCACAGATAGTTGATTACATCATAGCAATGATTTAAGTATACTTCAGAAACTACTTTGGTCTAATTAGTTCAAAAGATTTCTATTTTCAAAAGCATTTCCATACTCAAATTAACTATTTACTCAATAAATGTCAAGATAATCAATGACTTTCATTGACAGCAATATGAGTGAATAGAGTTTTCCAGTCCTTTAAGCAAAGCAGCATCTTATTCCCTCTTAAATCTGTGAGCCACCCATGTAAGAAACTTTTAAATTGAAAGGCAATTGAACTAAAAAAATGGGGTGGACAGAATTATAACATTTCAAAGTGAGGCAAAATATTGGCGATTAAATTGAAATATTTTTGAATACTTTAAGAATTAAGAAGACATGCATGTCAGCAATATACATACCTACAACAATTTAAGTTAAGGATTATCAAAGCCTTGAACTCACACAAAATTAGCTACCGGCTTCCCCGTTGGTAAAAACCAAAATTGCATAAAGTGAAGAGCAATTACTTCAGGACAGATCTTGCTAGTGAATGATGCACAAAATAAATAGAGAGCACAGATGCTCACACACACAGTCCAGAGCTGTGATGCTGAGATGCTGCGTGTAGTTCCTGGGGAAAGAGTGTGGTGCTGCCCTAGTAACAATTCACTGCAAATCAAAGCTAATGGCTATTTCCACTTTTTTTTTTTTTTTTTGCCTTTTATCCCATAAAATCAAATATCCTCTTGGGATTTCTTTAGGCTAATGAAAACGGATATTAATGTAGATCTTTACATTAAGAGCTAAGAGGCATAAAGTGAACTTTTGAAAAGTTAGGGAACACCTGTACATATGAGTATGTTAAATAGATTCAGAAAAGGAAAAGTTAGTATGTCAGAATTACTGAGAGAGAAAATAAATATTGGAGAAAATGGGGCTGAAGGATGGTAGAATTTAATAATCAGGGAGATTATATTTTTAAAAAAACATAATTGCATGTACACTTAGAACAAATGACAGATTAATTTGACAGAAGATATATGTTGTTAGGATATGGTTGATTTTGCAAAAATTGAAAGTCATTTGTTATTTTTAATCAAATACTATGAAAGAAATGTTAGTAAAATTATTCAGATAGCAAAATGCAAGGGGGTCTGGCATGTAGATAAAGGAGATGAATAAATAAATAAAACTCACGAAGTAATAATACACAAGGAAATGAAGCCAAGGCAGAAGCATGAGAATGGGGGTAAAGGGAATGGAAAAGACATCCACTTTAAGAAGTTGCTGAATGAATACAAATGACAAGAAGATGAGATTTGGAAATTTAAAGAGAGGGAAGAATCATGGATGTTTAAAAACACTTACATTGTTAAAGTATAAAAGCAAAGACAGTATACTGAGTAAAGTGGAACATAGCATGAGTGGTGGTGGTTTAACAAATCCAGGTTTATACCTGCTGCACATAGATTGATTAGAGACAGAATATAGGACTAAATTCTGAATTTGGAAACTCACTTTTCACAAAATGTTGAGTGAAGATCACACTAAAGTAAAATGAAAAGCCTAAGAGTTCTTTAAATATGTTTGTAACTGGCTATGGCTGAAGTATTGTACAGAGAACTTCTGTGCTCTTAGGCATTTTTCTTAGAAATCAAGTCGAGGTATAGTTCCCAGGAAATATACACTTAGGAACTTTATTTTGTTTTTAAATCATATATAATATTGACCATGGTGATTACTTTTATGTACTTTAAATAATGCCAAATAGTGTCTGAATTTTTAAAGTATGTGTTGGAATGTTGCTAATATGCACCATGTCAGTGGTCCTTCTTCATTTTAAAAATTGTAGCCCAGAAGACATGGTTCAAGAAAAGATTACTCAATTTACTTATTTGAACAAATGATCCTACAAAGCAACAGATATCAGAATAAATTTCACAAACATGAAACAATCATGATTAATTTGGGAAGAATCATAGACCCATTATTCCATTTTAGGTTGAAAGCAGTTTGATTTTATAGTGAACATTATGCATGCTTAGTGGGGTTTTGTTTGGTATATTACTAAGAATGAATTTTGCTAGAGTATCCTTAGCTTCTCAGAGAGAAATGTTTGTGTGTGTGTGTGTGTGTGTGTGTGTGTGTGTGTGTTTTCTAGCCTTACATTAAGAAAGATGCCACTGTGAGGGGCTCACTCATTTAGCTTTGAGGTCTTGATAGGTTAGTTCAGAAAACAAGAGAATTCGTTCTCAGGAGCTTTATAGAAATGTAGAATTCCCTGCCCTAAAGGTTTGGCTCAGTGGACAGAGCATCAGCCTGTGCACTGGGGGGGGTCCCAGGTTTGATTCTGGCCAAGGGCATGTACCTTGGTTGCAAGCATATCCTCAGTAGGGGACGTGCAAGAGGCAGCTGATGGATGTTTCTCATCAGTGTTTCTAGATCTCTATCCTTTCCCCTTTCTCTCTATAAAAATATCAAATATATATATATATATATATATATATATATATATATATTTAAAAAATAGAAATATAGAATTTCCAATATACTGAATCAGAATCTGTTTTCAAACAAGATTCCCAGATAATTCCTATGTTGAATGAAAATTGAAAAGCACTAAATTAGTCTTATATAAAACAATCCGCCCAATTCAGTTTTGCAGGTAACATTTTTTAAAGATGCATTATCATTAAAAATTTAAGGGTTTTTTTGTTGTTGTTGTTGTTGTTGTTTTTTTTGTGTGTGTGTGAATGATGTTAAAGATGTTATTTAATGCTAAAGGAAGTGAAACCAATGTTAATATGTCCCATATACTGTGTTAAACATTTCCAAATCTATTAACTCATTTAACCCCTCTAATACTCTCGGAGATGAGGCACACTATCTCCATGCCTCTGGGCATGAAAACCAGCCTCAGGTTAAATTCCTCATCTATTTCATGCAGTCCATTCATTCACTCAATGTTGAGCATCCCGTTGCTGAAAGTCCCTGGTTAGGTCTGGACATAAAATGAGCATGGTCCCTACTGCAACAGAAGGTAAATAGACTAGATTGTAATTAGACAAACGCCACGGTGGCATATGTTTCTAAGAGGGAAGCCTAAATTTTCAGAAGTTCTTTAGGGAAAATTGATATTTGGAAAAAGGATCCAAATGATTTCAGAGGAACACATTTTTGCTGCGTTGGCTATGGAAAGAAAAAAAAAAAAAAAAAAAAAAAGGTGAGTGTGTCATGGATTTCAGTAAGGGGAACCCAGCAGCAGTTGAGGCTGGAACATGACAGCAACCCTGCAGAATTTTGTAGAACAAGGTGCAAATGTAGGAATTTAGCCGGCCAAGGGAGGAAGCCACTGGAGGGTTTTTCAGCTTGTAAGTGGCAGGCCCTGCTCCACGTTTGGAAAAAAAGCTCTGCAGTCAGACCCTGCGCAGCAGCCAGCCCTGCGGGGGTGGGTGATGAGGGCCCCTCCTCTGGCTGCCTCTCTCCACCCCTGTCGCCGCCTCCTGCTTTCTCAGCCTGTCTGACGGGGGTGGGAAACGAGTGAGAGGGCGGGCAAGAAGAAAAACATCACAAAATATATATATATTTAAAAAAAAAAAAGAAGAAGAAGAAAACACCCCCTTTGGCAGCGAGTGCGCGGGAAGTTCAGCGCGCGAGTTCCGGGTTTCCCGCCCGCCCCGCCGGCCGCACACGGGTGAGCCCCCGACCCTGTTCCGCTGCCCGCAGGGCCGCGTCTGTCCCCTGCGTCGGGCGTTCTGTCCGCCTCCCCTCTCCCCATCCGGCCTCGCCGGGGGCGCCGCGCGGGGGCTGCGCATTCCCTGCCGCAGCGGCCGCGGCGCCTGCAGACCTGGTCCCCCGGCGGCTCGGGCTCTGGCCTGGCCCCGCGCCGCGCGCCCGGACCGCGGCCTCCTAGGCCACTTGTGGAGCTCCTGGCCCCGCGGCTGTAACTCCGAGCCAGCCCGAGCCGAGCGAGGCCTGCTTCTATTGGGAACCCAGCCTCCCTCCGGGGGCGTCTGTGCAGAACGCAGGGACTGCGGGCCCGCTGGCCACCTGAAGCTTTTGCGCACATTTGGCCCGGGAAGGAAACGTCTCCCCTGCCAGCCTTCTCTGAGACCTGAGAGTTCTGTCGCAGCTTTCCGCGGAGCGGCCTGGTGGGTTGCCTGGGAGGAGGGGGGCCTTTGCATGAGCCTGCTGCTGCCTTAGCCCCATCGGGAAAGCTGCCCCTGAGCCCCATCTCTCCAGCTCCCAGTGGCAATCCGGAGGCCACCGCGCTGCGCTGCTGCGTGAGCCCGGCCCAGCTGTAGCCCAGCCACCCTCCCTGCAGGCATCTCTGGGAGAGCTCCTAGGGGCCAGCGCTCCCCATCAGGGTCCAGCAACATGGATGTGGACGCCAAGTACCGCCAGGCCTCCCTCTACGTGGGTGACCTCGCCCCAGATGTCACCGAGAACATGCTGTTCATGAAGTTCAGCACCGTGGGAACCGTGCTGTCCATCCGCATCTGCAGGGACCTGGCCACCCGCTGCTCCCTGGGCTATGCCTATGTGAACTTCCTCAATGTGGGTGATGCCCAGAAGGCCCTGGACACCATGAACTTCGACGTGATGCAAGGCAAGCCCATCAGGCTCATGTGGTCCCAACGTGACGCCTACCTGAGGAAATCTGGAATCGGGAACGTGTTCATCAAGAATCTGGACAAATCCATTGATAACAAAACGCTGTATGAGCATTTCTCAGTGTTTGGGAAGATCCTGTCCTCTAAGGTGATGTATGATGATCAGGGCTCCATGGGCTATGCCTTCGTGCATTATCAGAGCCAGGCTGCGGCAGACAGGGCCATTGACGAGATGAATGGGAAGCTGCTTAAGGACTTTAGGATCTTCGTCGGCCCATTTAAAAACCGCAGAGATCGGGAAGCTGAGCTCCAAAATAAAGCCAATGAGTTCACCAATATCTACATCAAGAACTTTGGAGATGACGTGGACGATGAGAAACTGAGGGAGTTTTTCAGCCATTATGGCAAAATCGTGAGTGTTAAGGTGATGACAGATTCCAGTGGGAAATCCAAAGGCTTTGGCTTTGTGAGTTTCGATACCCATGAGGCTGCCAAAAGGGCCGTTGACATAGTGAATGGGAGGGAATTATTCGGACAGCCGGTATTTGTAGGCAGGGCACAAAAGAAAGCAGAGCGTCAAGCTGAGTTAAAGCAATTGTTTGAGCAGCGGAGACAGGAAACAGTTTGGCGGTTCAGGGGGTTGAAGATCTATGTCAAGAACCTCGATGATTCCATTGATGAAGAAAAGCTACGGAGAGCATTTTCTCCTTTTGGATCAGTTATCAGAGCTAAGATAATGCAGGAACAAGGTCGAAGCAGAGGGTTTGGCTTGATCTGCTTCTCCTCTCCAGAGGAGGCTGCTAGGGCAATGGCTGAGATGAATGGCCGCATGTTGGGCTCCCAGACCATTAACATCGCCCTGGCCCAGAGGGCCTAGGCGGGAAAGATTCTTTCCACCTGTCAGCGAATGCAGCAGGTGGGGGATGGATGATGGTGATCTATGAATTGTCCTCAGTCCAGTTTAATTCCCAGGTGATGGCAGCTTAGCTTAGTAAATTATGTGGCGAAAGGTTCTGTCTACAAAGTTTTGTGTTTGTTTTTTTTTGTTTTGTTTGTTTTGTTTTTTTGCAGAAAAATAAATGAATCTTAGAAGGTTGCTTCATTTTACAGAGGCATACCTTTTCATGACATTATTGTATTTTTTTTCTCTGATTTTAATGTATCCAGAGCAATGGATATAATTAAGTAATTTTTATTTTACATTTTGAACCAACTGAAGTGAGTTAATTGAGTATATTGCATATTTTTTCTTATTTTAATAAAATCATTAGCTTTAATTTATTCTAAGAAATATGCTCAAAATAGCTATTTTACCTAAGGATGGCAAAGTAATTTACAAAGAGAAATTTTCTGATTTCTCATCTAAGGTGTTTGTGGGTTTGTTTGTTTTTGTTTGTTTGTTTTTTTGTTTGATGGTTTTTTTGTTTTGTTTTTAAACCAAAATTTTTAAAATTACTAGTACAAATTCAATATCTAATTTCATTTTGAATTAATGTTTAAAGTACTAGTAAGAGCTGAACTTCTTTTAAATGTATATCCTGGCATGTCTTCTTTTCTGATGGCTGAAATTAGTGATGGAAGATTTTAGTGTTGCTTACAAAACTACTTTATAGTATATATTGCTATTCTTTCCATTGGTTGACTAATTCAGTTGCTTGCTAGCTATCAAAATTGTGACTTGAATAGTAAAACCTTACCTCCAACATTCCTTAATTTATAAAGCTGTATCAATGTAGGTGACAAAAATCTGGCCTAGTCTTAAATCTCTTCATACCTATGTAGCTTAATATTATGCCTTCAGTGATTATCAGATACACTATATTATAAAAGTCATATATATAGAGAGAGAACATATAAATTATGCTTAACCATGCTTTAGTGTCTGTTTTCTATGGTTTCGTGTAGTGACATTGTCTCAGGGTTGAGAAAAGTTAAAGTTGCTTTATTCATATGAACTCTTGTCTCCCTTTATAAGATCATGAGAGCTATATAACCCATTCAGGTTCACTTTAGCCTTGATTGATCAGAAACTCATTAATTGATTTTCTGATAAATTGAAAGTATATCTCAGTCTGTTGTCTAGCATAATTTTTTTAATTTTAGTTCAATTGCCAGACCTTTCCTTCTCTTTCACCTTTCATCTATATCACTTAGCTCCTTTCAATCCTTTTTAAAGGGCTATTAAAAAAAAAATTCCTAGCAATGGCTCAGTTGGTTGGAGCATCATCCCATGTACCAAAAGAAAGGTTGCAGGTTCTGTTCCCATTGAGGCACATACCTCTAGGTTTCTGGTTCAGTCCACATCTGGGAGAGTAAGGAAGGCAACTGATAGATGTTTCTCTCATATCGATTTCTCTCTCTCTCTCAAAATCAATTAAGAAATACATAACCTTGAGTGAGGACTTAAAACAAGGGCTTTAGTCACTTTTTGGCCTTAGGGCTAAGATCAAGTGTAAAAGGGCTTTATTATATTGATTATTACTACTTGTTTGAAATCCATTTTGAAAATAGAGGCAAGAGTTATTTATTTACACATAAATAATTACTTTTAAAATTCTGACTTCTCATACCAAAGGTGTCTAGGAAATAGTTTTATGGTTCTTGCTGCTGTTCTATTTTTTAATCTGCTTAGTTATTTCCTGTAACCATATAGTCTAATCTTCTGTTTCCTATATTAGTATTATAAAATAAATATATAGAGTATCTTATCTACAAACTACAGTAAATCTTTTAAAAATGTCTTGCTTTTCAATATCTACAAATGTGTTTCAGTAAATACTGATCTATTGTAAGAATCTATGTGAAACTCATATGCCAGCTCTCATTCATTGTATCTCTGAATCACTGTGTTGAGAAGTATTTACCTCAAAAACAGAGTTTTTAAGAAAGGGTACCAGGCAACAGAATGGGAAGTGTAGTGGGTGTGTCAAGCCTTGACATCTCTTTCTAGATAGCCCAGTCTATCAAAATGTTCAAATATTTGAACAATATTTCATAAGGCTTGTGTATGGATTACCAAAATAATATCAGGGGACTGTGTTTCTCTCTTATATGCACAAGGAGTTAATAGGATGTAATATAAGATGTCTAGATGAATTATATCCATAATTTCATGGCACAGTAATTTTCCATGTAGTAGAACTTGCTTATTTTTAATTACTTACCATAGGAAATAATTAAGCCAACTTACAAAAAATATGTAATCCTGTGGAATTTCTTGATAGATTTAAATTTTGCTCATTCTAAATTGTGTGTGATAATATCAAGTTATCTTAGTTGATAGTAGAAGTTTATTCTTTCAAGAAAATGTAATCTTGTGTGTGTTAGTGCCTTGATTAAATAAGAAGAGTCTTCACTTTTCTGATAAGCATTCTAGTAAAAGCTAATTTACATAGAGATGCCTTGAGCTACTGCTTCTAATCTTGCCTCCCTTCTGCACATGTTGCCAAGTTTTTGTGTAGATGCCTGTTTGCATGTACAGCCAATTCAATAAATGTGCCTTGTAACATTTTATTTTTCAATGGAAATTTATCGTTGCTAAAAGTAAACTTTATTTAAAGTGGCTTAGAATTGGTATTTTTGTGTTGTTAATATTTTTGTAAGTCCATGTTGAAAAGATCAAATAAAGTCTAATATTTCAGTGGTAAAGACATGTCTGAAAGTTATTTCTGTTTATTGAATTTTAAGGTGTATACTTTTTCAAAGACCGCTTTTCTTTCTGAAAATATCTTGCATTTCCTTATTATAAAGTCAATGGTTATTAACATACAGTTCATTTAAAGGAACCTACATAAATGAATCATTTTTAGTCAATGCCTGTTTTTATTTAAATTTCTATTGTTTAAAGTGTTACAAATGTCCCCCTTTACCCCCATTGTCCCCTTCTAGCCCACACCTACCCTTTTAAATAAAGTTACACATATTGCATGTTTTAAAGACCAACTCTCATATGAACTGGCATTTCTTTTCTAAGTTACTCAGAAATATAGAACGATGGTTGAGAAAAATCACTAATATAGATCAAGTTTTCAATTTATATTTTATTTTAAAGACTTCTGAATTGAATTGTTGAAGTAAAATTGTTAAGAATTTAGAATTAGCTTACTTGTGTTATATTTGGAAAATATGATTTCTAATGTAATTTTTAAAAAGTAGATAAAAAACAATAGTTTGAAAAGAGAGTATTTTAAAACTAAATTTTAAAAGGTAGACCAAATTAAATATATTCAGGATATATTTGGCTTCAAGCAATGGAAATTCCCAAACTTGCACTAGAAAAGGACATTTTACCTAACAAAATATTCAGACTTTTATCTTAAGGCATTAAATATCAGAACTTCAGTGCCATTTCTCTTGGTGTCTCTTGGCTCTTCCCCCTTCTTATCTGAGCTTTGTCCTTAGGCAGATGGCAAGATGGTTACAGAAATCCATCCTCATACTGAGACACAACCACATTCAGGCATAAATTTCCTAGAAACCATTTGAAAACCATCCCCCTCAGTTTTCATTGTTCATTTTTGGTATACAGGTTCAACAAGTTCCGCCACTAAAATTGAGGAAGGAGTCAACTTTCCAATTTCTATGCAGAATGGGCTTCTGATAGAAGAAAGGAGTAGAAATGAATGTTAAAATATGCATCTATTAAATTTTGGATTTTTTTTTCATTTTTTATTATATAATTATTTTTAGTACTTAATATGTTCAACTTTTCTTACAAATAGATTTTAAAACTATATTTCCTCTCTATAGATACTTTTCAACCCCTGAGTCAACCTGGTGATTTTCCTTGATCTCAAGTTGTAGAAATTGAAGGCAATAAATTATGCAATATCTATACTAATAAAGGGTAAAATGCTAATTAGACTGGGATACTTTCTGGGAGACCTTCCAGACATCCTTTCAGACAAAGCCATGGTGGTGGGGCTGAGGCAGAGCAATTAGGGGTGATTAGGCCAAGAGGGGAGGGCAGGTGGGGGTGAGCAGGCCTGCAGTAGGGGAGGGCCAGCCTGGCAGGGTGGGGGGTAGGGGGGCGAGCAGGACAGCAGTGGGGGGCAATAAGGGGCAAACAGGATGGCAGTGGGGGGCAGTTGGGGGCAAGCAATCTGGCCAGGGGGGCAGTTAGGGGTGATCAGGCCGGTTAGGGGGAATAGTTGAAAGTGAGCAGGCCATAGGGGGGTAAGTTGGGGCAATTAGGCTGGCAAAGGGGGGTGTCTATTGGGGTCAAAAAGGCCAGCAGGCAGAGTGATTAGGAGAAATCAGGCAGGCAGGCAAGTGAGCAGTTAGGAGCTAGTGGTCCCAGATTTTGATCCTGTCAGATTGGGCCTAAACAAGCAGTCAGACATCCCCCAAGAGGTCCCAGGTTGGAGAGGGTATAGGCTGGGTTGAGGGACACTACCCACTTGTGCATGAATTTTGTGCACTGGCCCACTAGTATTTTAAATAAAATTCAATTTCTTCTTGTTTGGTAATGGGACTGAAATTATGAACAGATTACAAATGGTCAAGAAGGTTTCAAATAAATCCACATATAGTAAATGTTAAGTGCTTACAAAATGGCCCCAATATATTAAAAAATAATAACCCATAAAGATAATAATGGGTGTTCATTTTCTTTACAAAAGGATTTGTTATATCCTTTAATACATTTAAATTATAAGAATTAACAAAACTGGTTTTACCCAAAACCTTTCAATATGTATTTTCTGTACTATACAAATGTATTATAACTTTCACATATTTTAACCAGGTAACATCCATTTTTTTTTTTAAATCCAGATACAGGAAGCTATGAGTAAAACATACTAGGATTTGAATTTGTTAAGATCAAATTATTTGCATGTTTGGTGAGAGGAAATATTTATAGTTGTGGGTTGTTTTTGTCTCATGCTCATGGCTTACTTTAGAGTTCACAGAATGCTCAACTGCATTGAAGTTCCTCTGAATGAAACAATTGAATACATCAAGCAAGGGAAGAAAAATGATCCTCTTAGTGGCATTCTTTGCCATAGTAGAGAAAATGCTTAGCTTCTCAGAGATATTGGCAGTCTGTACAATGATATTGCATCAGATTTTGTTAACCATTTATATCTACATCAACTTAAATATTACAGATATACCCAGTTTGAAGTTTTGCCAAATATTGAGCCCATTTGAGTTCATATATATATACACACACACACGCACAAATATATATATATATATATATATATATATATATATATATATATAAATGTATATATACACACACAAATACATACATATATACAAATATATATACACACACAAATATATATACAAATATATATACACACGTATATATACACATATACAAATATATATATACAAATATATATATATACAAATATATATATACAAATATATATACACACAAAAATATATACATCTATATACAAATATATACACATATATACACATATACGCACATATATACACAGATATATACATATATACATGAATATATAAAAATATATATTCATATTTATACACACACACACACATACACACATACTAGAGGCCCGGTGCACAAAATTTGTACATGGGTAGGGTCCCTTGGCCTGGCCAGCGATCAGGGCCAATCAGGATCACCACCTCCCCACCACCTCCTTCCCTCACCGCCCACACACTGCCACCTCTTGGTTCCCTGGATCCCGGCCTCCCTGCCTCCTCCTTCCCTGGCTCCCTCAACATCCCACCACCACTGCTTGCCCTCTATCGCCTGTGCCCCCTGGTTGTCAGCGCACATCATAGCAAGCAATGGAACTCCTAGTCTCCTGGTTGAACTCCCAAGGGGACAAGATGAATAATAGTCTTTCATTATATAGGATTAGTGAGCTCAGACAGCCATAACAAAGTATCATAAATTTGTGTGGCTTAAATAAAGAAATGTATTTTTCTCACAGTTCTGGAGGCTGGAATTTGGAGTCAGAGTACCAGCATTGCATTGCCCCAAACACCATAAAGTGCTGGATTGATTGCCAGTCAGGGCACATGCCCAGTTTACAGATTTAATATCCAGTCCAGTGAATGCTGAAAACAATGGAACAATGTTTCTTTCTCTCTCCCTTCTCTCTGAGATCAATTAAAATGAATGATAAATAAATAAATAAAGTTCTATAAGTATGGTTTTAATAGGAGAGACATCAGTGATCTATGAAGTGAAAAACTCATTATAGAACATATACACAGCATGACCCCATTTAATATATATATATTTATTTCAGAGGAGGGGAGAGGGAGAGATAGAAACATCAGTGATGAAAAAGAATCATTGATTAGCTGCCTCCTGCACCCCCCTACTGAAGATTGAGCCCAAAACCTGATTAGGAATCAAATTGTTTCCTCCTGGTTCATAGATCAATGCTCAACCACTGAGCCCCACCAGCCATGCCCCATTTTTATCAACATCAGACATATGGGGTACATTGACAAGATCTCACTCCTAGACAAAAGCCTGAAATTTCCCAAACCCCTTTGTACCTAGGTTCCTGGATATGAATTTGTTTCTGCTGATTGGGTGTGCTTGCACAATATTTTGAAGGCAGAAGTGGGGCAGAGGCATCTTCCCACAGTTTGGACTATTTGCTGCTGGTGGTCATGTTTGCAGAGATGTGGAGGTTTTCTGCAGCAGAATCCAAGCTGTGCACAGGCAGCTGTGGCAGAGACAGTGCCCAGTGACCTGTTTTGTTTGTTTTTAAATATATTTTATTGATTTTTTACAGAGAGGAAGGGAGAGTTGGAGAGATAGAGAGTTAGAAACATCAATGAGAGAGAAACATCAGCTGGCTCCTGCACAACCCCCACCGGGGATATGCCTATAACCAAGGTACATGCCCTTGACTGGAATTGAACCTGGGACCCTTTAGTCCACAGGCTATACTCTATCCACTGAGCCAAACTGGTTTTGGCCAGTGACCTGTTTTGTGGGAACTGGAGGGCACTGCAGGGGCAGCAGTTTCCTGATCCCTGGGTCACAGCTGTGCCAGAGTGTCCTAGAATTCAGTTGTGGCTGAGGGGTATAGGTCCTCCCGATAGCCAGGGAGTCTTTCCTGGGGACCCAGCCTACTACCCTCTCCTCCAGCTTTCCAATGATTTCCCTGAGCTAAATTATTTCCTGCCTAAAATATCAAAGATCTAAAAACATTTTGGATCTTCTACTTTCCAGGAAAACAATGCTGCAAAGGGTCAGGTCTGAGAAGTGGGTGAGGTGTTGCAGAAGGCTCCCTTTTTTGAGTCTGAGCTTCCTCTTCTGTAGAACAGAGACCAAAGATTATTATCTGTTCATAGTTTTTGAATATCATGGCAGCTGTGTTTCCCAGAGCTGGCCACAACATTTCCTATCCTTCCTATGATCTTGCCTCTTTCTGCCACATCCTCTCCGTTAAAGTGGGGCTGACCTCTGATGCACTGGTAATCAGTACACTGGTCACCTTTGGAATTCTAAGGCCAATGCTGAAAAGGCATGGGTCTGCAGCCCTGCCCACTCCACCAGGGTTTCCAGCCCCTGCCCTGGCACCCCACACGAGTTCTGGGCTTTATTGGATAGGTGGGCATGGCCGATGAGGGTGGTGGGCATGGCTGATGAGGGTGCATACATTCTGGCCCCACCCATGCCACTTGGGGCCCCACCT